TGTGTAACAGTGACAAGGCTGAAACATTATGATCACACCCATCACTTCAAAATTGTAAGGATTACACTTGTTCTTTTATTAAAGCATTGGTCTGACTGACCAGCAACTCATTAATATCCTCTACCCACTGGTGATTCTCTGCTCTATGCTTTCAACTGAATTGAGGTAAAATTTACACGAGTGAATGGAGAAAGACACAGGGATGAAATCACATACAAATGGAAAAATAAAATATGATGTAGATAGCCACAATGAAGAATATGATCCCAAAAGAATGAATTCCTGTAATTCATAGCAAAGTAGACAGAATTGGAAGGTACTCTGTCCAAGAAAACCACAAGTGATTTTAACCTGCTTGGTTTGTCTGGTAAAATATCCTCCAGGCTGAGAGACGTTATAACAAAAGGTTCTTCTTCTGAAGGACAAATAAAATTCACATAAAATGTGTGTTCATAAGCAAACACACACAAGGATGCCACTGGTAATGGACACATGGTCTATTATATAACTCGGCCATTAAGAATAATGTCACAACAACAATATCGACATTCCATGCACATGTCATCTTTAGCCTTCAGGCTCTACACTCAAAAGCTGAGCTGCTTGATTGATTATACACTAACTCTATTTTTATTTTTACTGATATGTCTGTAATCAATACTCACCAATAAATCACAATCTAGAGTCCCACCAACAGAGAACACAGTTCCCATTCCACCACCTTTTCCACAACAGTTATCTTTCCAAGTGAAGGTGACAGCTCACTTTGGTGAAAATTGGCATTCCTGCATAACAGTAATGTTGAAATTCCTCTTATATATCATTTCTCTTTAGTAAATGTCTATTAAAGTTGGGTATGCAATGTGCACTTCTAATCATCTATTGAGGATTCTGAGTGGCCTGTGCAATACTCATCTCAAAAAAAAAAAAAAAAAAAAGAAGAAGAAGAAAAAAAAACAAGTAGAATAATAGAATGAAAAGAATACCTACATCTCTAATGGTGTGGAATCCTGGTAGAATTCTAGCTCAGCTAGGCCCTGAGCATAAGCGCCACCTCATTGCCCAACACACACACACACATACACACACACGTCCATCCCCATTTTTTAAGTGGGCTGTTCCAAGGAGTCTTGTTTCAGGTTTCACATTTTGGCTATTAATTCACTGTTGGATATATGATGTGCAATTCCTACTCCATACTCAGAAGGAAATACCTGATGCTAAGTAACAAAAGCCTGTTCATTTAGATCACAGCACCAAGGTTATTCTCAGGCAGTCATGCCAGGCTTCACAATGCTGACAGTAAGTAAGTATGGAAGAAGGAGCATACTGAAACATACTAAACAAAACAGATACTGTTACTGTATCATCCAGCAACTGAGCTTTTGTGTGTAGATCTAGAATACTGAAGATTATATGTCCATGGGTGTTGGGAACCTTTATCATTTATTACAGAAGTAGCAATTCAAATATTCTAGGCATCAACTCCAGAATATCTGTTACCCTGAACTTGGTTGTATGTAGACTATATACTGGGTGCTTTGTATTCTCCAATAGGCCCCAGGGGGGGGGGGGGAATCATTCTCACCAGGGCATCAGAAGTAAGAGCTGGAGAAGGATTGAGCAGTCTAAGGGACCTCAGACAGTGGAACAGGATGTATTCTTGGTGCACAAAAGGACTTTGCAGACACATCCCTCATGGAGGGATACTCCCTTAACCCAGAGACAGGAGAGAAGTCCTAGTCCCTACTTCAAATGACTTGACAGATTTACATGATCCCACCTGGATGGCACTGCCCTACATGTGGAATTAGAATGGGGGGATGGGAGGGGATGGTGGTCAGGGTGCATATGAGGGGGGAGAGAGGATAAGAGGGAGGGAGGGAGGGAGAGACGGAGGGAGGGAGAGGGAACTGGGATCAACATATAAAATTAAAAAATAATAATAAAAATAATAATAATAAAAAAAAAACCACACAGTGTAGCATTTAAGAGTTTAACATTTCAGATGGTCTGTGGCCACCACATGGCTAGTGGCTGTCAGACAGCAGACTGTATCTGGTGTTTCTCTTTTAATGACAATACATGGATATGTGGAGTTAAAAAAAACAAAAAAGAAAGAAAGAAAGAAGAAGAGCTGCTGGAACTTCAGATCTCACAATACATAGCCTTAGTTTTCCCCTTTGATTTAGCACTGAGAAGCCCTTTTCACCAGCTAACAGCATGAGTTGCAAGTCATGTCCGCTCTGAGATTTAAGTTTTGTCAGGATGTTTTGCAAGTCACATCCTGTGAGGCACTGGCTTTTCTGGAGATCCTACCTGCCTTCAGTGCTCTGAAAGATATGTATGCTCTATTGTCAGAGAGTTCTTAAGTGTAATTGTAGATATAAAAACTAGAAGACTTGTGGGATGCAGGAGACCTCGGGAGAACTTTTAGAACAAGGAAATTTTGGAGACTTTTTAGAAAGAACTTTTAGAAAAATTTTAAGAACTTTTGAAAGAGAACTTTAAGAGAGAGCTTTTAAAGGGAAAATTATTAAAGAGAACTTTTAAGGAGAACTCTTAAAGAGAGCAATGAGAGAGAACTTTTTTGGGAAGCCCCCATTTTTGAAGAACAAAGAGCAATGAGAGGTGTGTGTGAGCCTGTTTATTCCCATCTCACCCTCAGACTCCTTCTAGAAAAACCCTACCCACCTGCTGTCTAGCCCCTAGTCTGGAACCTGATAGAGCATCAAGGCTGGAACTTGAATGCTCTCAATACATGGTATGTCTGTATATTCTCAGTGTTATTCTTAGTAGCTAGGTCTATTAATGAGCCTGTGTATACATCACCAGTTGACTCTGTCTGTATATTATGTGTTTTTATTGTCCTTCAGAAAAAGGAAGTTCTAATTACAATATCTATCAGCCCATAGACTACTTGAACCAAGCAAGGAACTATTACATGTTGTTAGCCTAATTATTTCATATTTTTGTTTTTATTTATATTGAGACAGAGCCTCACTACACAATTATGAACCAGCTTGAAACTCATTTATGTAGATCAAACTCATAAAGATTCATCTGCCTCTTCCTCTCAAATGATTAAAGGCGTGCACCATCAGGCCCACCTTACCCTAATTATTTCATAACAGCCCTGTTTTACAAATACAGCATTATGTTCAGCATTAATCCTTCTTAGGGTGTCATATCCAGTCACCTATTTCCAACTAGATTTACCTCTTCTAAGTTCTATATCAGGCAAGCATGGGGGACCACATATGTAATGTCATCACTTCTAAGGTTGAGGCAGGAGAATTGAGAGTTCCATGACAGCCTGTCTGGTCTACAGAGATAGACCTTTCCATCCATCCTCCCCTTTCACAGAATGGTCTGAAACATTTCTCATTGCCACGGAGAGTCAAACATTTCACCCTGAACCTTTTGGTGTGAACATGAAATGTATCTGAATTATGGCACCTTTGTCAAAACTTAGTTAACTGTCCATCAATGGCAGCTACTGAAGGCTGAAGCAGAATGCTTGCCAAGAGTTTACAAACATCCTGGGCTACATGATAAAATTCAGATAAACCTGAACTAAACAGTGAGATCCTACCTCAAATACACAAACAAGAAATAAGATTTAAAAAAAAAAAAAAAATCCAAGAAACTACCTGGGTACCACAAGAGATAAGGCTAAAGTTTTGTACCTATAAAGAATAGTGACAGACCTTTATTTGCCATAGAAGCCTTGCATTTGGCATTACACAGTAGGGAAGCTTACACACTGCCCTCTGAGATGTATCCCTGACATATTCCTTTCCATTTAGTTTTCTGGTTATTATTGCCTCTTTCTCCACAGTCCAGGGCCCTTTCTTTTGTTCCAACATAGATATAACATTCAGATTAGGAAGTGTTATTCCTGTTTATAAAAACACAGTAATACCATGTAATGAGGTTTGTATAGAATCTCTGCCCTATGCTAATGCGAGGAGGGAGCATAATTCTTAGAATTTAGAAAAATACTTCACAGAATCATTACTGCCAGACTCCTTCTGGGAGTTTAATGGACAGACATCTAATTATCAATCAATAAGCAGTGAACCAAAAGATCCCAGAGAGAAAGCAAGGAATTGGATATAGTGTGAATCTAGTAGAGCCATTTCTATCTAGGGAAAAAGCACAGAATGTAATAGTTGTTTCTCACTTATATTTAGGGCAACAGCAGAATGTATTAGTGTTTGTTGAAGGTACCTTGAGGAAAATCATAGTAGAGAACAGTGACTTTTTCCTATGACTTAGAGAGTTTAGAGTTGTTTTCTAAAGGGGTATTCCATCTGTTCCATGGCTTTGGTCACAAGACTCCAGAAACACCTGGAAGTCTTAAATTATTAGGTACTACAAACAGTATAGATTAAGGACTAAAGGTTACAGGGGTGTAATGATTTGCTTCAGAGAACATATCAGATATATCAAAGGGGCTTTGGTATGAAGAACTTGCTGTACCTCAAACACAAACTTTGTGTACTGTCAATATACTTTTGAACAGAGTTTCAAAGTCCAGTTCACTGGAACTGTTCCTTCCTAGAGCACAAGAACCTAAACTTATTTCTTGGAATGACTATCCTTTGAACATCCCAGGTAATAAAGAACACCCAACACTGAATACTTTAAACATGTGCCTTGGTGCCATGAGTCATGCACAGTGACATATGCCAGTAATTCCAAAACTAAGAAGTGTGATGAAATAGTACTGCAAGTTCAAGGCTACTATATTATAAAATGTAAAAAAATCAAAACAAAAACAAAATCTACTGTAAGGGCCGGGAACATAGCCCTGTGTAAAGTGCACGCTAATGCAAAAGTCTTAGTTTCTATTGACAATGCTGACAGGGAAAAAAGGAAAGAGGGACAGAGGAAGGAAAAGAAGAAGAGAGGCCACATGGTTCCACAAAGGGATGGAAGGAAAACTGCAAGGTTACATTGCAAAGATCCCAATTCTCGGAGAAAGTCATCCTTACCCAGGGAGATGAGGTTGCTGTAGTTCTCCAACATAACATCCCTGTGCAAAGCCCTCTGTGCAGGGTCCAGGCATTCCCACTCCTCCTGAGAGAATTCTATGGCCACATCCCTGAATGTTAACTGTCCCTAAAAGGAAAGAAACACGTTTTACCATGTGGACATTTAGGATCTTTACAAAGAGGTGAGAAGAAGGTTAAAAAAGAAAGAAAGGAAAAAACAGAATAATTGACTGAATCGAAGAGAACAAATCACCTCTAAGCTGTAAGCTAACAAACTGAATGTCTTTTCCTAGTTCTGACATATAATTTCATGGCATCTCCAGAGTGGTAAGGATGGAATAGGTCCAAACTTCAGGCCTTACTCCCTATCCTCCATGGGGAGAGGGGCTGAAGGCTCAAGTGAATACCAGTGATCAATGGTATTATGTAGTATGTGAGTGATGTAAGGTCCATAAAAGCTCAAAAAGCACAGAGTTTGACTTTCTTTCCCCACATTCTGCTGTGGGGAAAGTACTAAAGAGTGTCTTACCCAAGGAGGGGGCGAAAGTCACAGCCCATCTCCTGTACCTCACCTTTTGTACCTACAGGTCATCTATAGCACTGGAATGTCCGTTTACCAAACAGGTAAAGAGTTTCCCTTAGTTTTGTGAACTACCCTAGAAAATGAACCTGGGGAAGAAGCTATACAGATCCTTGTTGAAAGCATTCTGTGGAACTGAATCCTCTAGCTGATTAGTGTCAGAATGCAATTGAATTAGCTGATACTAGGTTGCAGTATGCTGCAGAATTATTTGCCTGGTATGTGAGGAAAACTCTACACATGTGGGCTAGACTAAACTTTCTGTTTAATGAATGCACAAAGAGAAACTGACCTTGTTTTTCCTATATTCCAAGATTAAGATGCAACAGAATAACAATGGAACATCCTAGTGTTATTTTGCTTTGCTGTGAGATATCATGGTATCATGTCACAGTGCATTTCTCATATTTGTAGACAATATGAAAAACAAAAGCCAACAGAGAGCCTGCCCTCCCACACTCTGATATGTTCACTCTGTATTCCAAAGGCTTTTTAATCCTCATTTGCCCAATCCCCCTACCTATCTGTAGCATTAATTCTAATTGTGTTAACAATAAAAACCCAGAATCAGATACAGGGATAAATACTGGAAGACCAGAGAGGCAGAGCTGCCAGCCACTAGTTCTTTCCTCTACTGAATCCTCAGCCCAAAGGGTTGATCCTGTCCCTACAAATTTTCAAACTGAATGCAATGCACTGCTAGTCACTCCTGCCTTTTATTCCTCTCTCCGTCCAGCCATATCCCTTGTCTCCACCTCCTTAGTGCTAGGATAAAAGGTGTGTGACTCCCAAGTACTGGGATTAAAGGTGTGAGCCACCACTGCCTGGCTTATTTTCTCTTTGAAAGTGATCAATCTCCTGTAGCCAGGGTGGCCTGAACTCACAGAAATACATCTGCCATGCCTCAGGAGTGCTGGGATTAAAGGTGTGTGTCACCACTGCATGGACTCTACTACAGCCAACTAGTGGCTTAGCTCCACATTCTGATCTTCAGGCAAGCTTTATTTATTATATCACAAACAAAATATCATATTACTCGGTTCTCATTTGCTAAAAGGAAAAGCCCATATGTTACTCTCAATTCAAATGGTAGATAACATGTATGATATACCCAGTATCTTTGGAGATGAAGCCATGGAGCTTTAAGAAGCTGTCTGCCACAGCCTTGTAATTCCAGCACATTGAAGGTTGAGATAGGACAATCTTTACAAATCAAGGCCAGACTGGATTACACATTAAGTTCAGGGCCAGGGTATGCTATCTCATGCTTTTTTATTTTGTATTTTTAAATGCTTGCTAGGATGTATGGTTGGGTATGACACGTGTACCTGGTGCCTAAGGAGGCCAGAGGAGGTACTAAATCCCTTGAAACTGGAGGTAGAGATGGTAATGAGCCTCCACAAAGGTTCTAGGAATGCAACACAGGTCCTCTGGAGGAGCAGCCAGTGCTTTACCTGCTGTGTCATCTCTATTTCTCCAGCCCAATAAAAACCATTTTATAAACAAAAAAAGCTGAAAGTCCAGCTCAATGGTAGAGTATAAGTCTAGAATGCATAAGGGTCTGTGTTCACTCCTCAGCACTAAAACTATGTGGAAAAGAAAATCACAATATTAAAAAAAAGCCAGACATGCCAATTGTCTTGGCAATCACTTTCTCCAAGGGGTAGAAAGCAGAGAGATGACTAGCCAGGCATGCAGCAATCATCACTACAAAGCAAAAACAAGGTGGTGGAGAGGACAACACAGAGGTAGATTTATTAAAATTAACACGTGATGTGATTACAACATAGAAACAAGGTAAGCATAGGAGTGGAAAACAACAGGACTGTATTTCTTCATCATAGTCTCATGAAACATTCACTCCAACAAAGAAGACTATGTTTTTCTTTTGAAAATATACGACAGCACCTTATTAAAGACTTTTCGAGAACTGTGAACATAGACTGAAGACACAGCTCAGTCGTAAAGAGCACCGACTCAGGTTTGTTCTCAGCACCCACTAGGTAACTTCCAATTCTAGGGGACCTAGTCTTGCCATTTCTAGCCTCTGCAGGCATGCATGTGGTGCAAAAGGCAGAAACACACATGCTCACATATATTTGAAAAATTATAAAAGAACTTTGTAAATGAATTGTAAAACTGTATTGAAGTGACATCTACTAGGAAGAGGAATAATGACCCATAATAATGGAATTACTCTCAGGTATACAGACTTAACAATATGTGGATTATGAAAAATCCAAACACATTTTTAATTTAGCAGTGAAATCAGAGATGGTGTGACAACGGAGCAGCCATTTAAGAAGATAGAATTCTAACATGAAGTCTAGAGGGGTAATTTGTAGGACCAATTCATCAGAAATCCTGGTTCAATTACAGTGATGAAAATCAAGGCTCATCACTGAAGACTGAGAAGTACGTATATTAACTTACAGAATGTTCCTACAAGACTGTAAAAGGAGTTGGGGGATGGTAACTCAATTTTGTACAACCAGATCTCTGGAGGTTGAAACAAAAGGTTTTATTATAAGGTCAATGCCAACCTGGACTACATTAAGACTTCCATCCAGGAAAGAGAGTGAAACACTGTCACAAAAGAAATGAGAAAGCAGGAAGCTGATGGTGGCACACACCTTTAAATCCCAGGAATTGGAAGGCAGAGGCTGGCTGATCTTTGCTAGTTCAAGGCAAGTCTGATTTAAAAAGCCAGTTCCAGGGCCACCAGGACTGTTACACAGAGAAACCTTATCTCAAAAAACCAAACAGGAAAATTTTTAAAAGAGAAAAAAGAAAAAGAAACTGAAAGAAACAAGTAAGCTACCCTTCTTTCCTAAAGAGAAAACCTACAAAATAAAGTATCTAAAAACGTACTTTTACATGAGTGGAGAGACAAATTCATGGAACTTGTTGGCCAGCCAGCTTAACCAATTAATAAATTCCAGATTCTGTGAGAAATACTGTATCAGAAAAAAGTAGTAAGCCACTCAGCAAGATGCCTGATTTGACCTCTGGTTTTCAAACATGCCCACATACATACACATGCCTACATGTGCATACACTCACATGAGCAAGTACATACAACACATCCACAGAGAGATAATGATAGCCTTGCATGCACAGTACTATCACACTCAGGAAGTCAGCCTGAGCTACCCAGGAAGATATTCTCTCTCTCTCTCTCTCTCTCTGAAAACTGTGGTGATATATTATTTAGGACTTTTTGAAGCTTGCCTGCGGATTGAAAAAGCAAAGTCAACAACAAGCTATAGTGGTCAGGAGATGATGCACACACCTTTAATCCCAGGATTCAGATCAAGGCAGATGGATCTCTCTGAGTTCAAGCCCACCCAGGGATACATTAAAGTTAATCAGTCTAAAAGAGAATTAGGGCTCACACGGTTAATCCCAGGACTCAAGAGTGGTACATAACACAGGAGCAAGTTCTCAGTATCAGGCATTCATTCTCCAGCCACATTAAGGTCAGGAAGACATTCACTCTCAGGATTCCCCAGGCGTGCTGAGGATAGTCAGCAGAATCAGTCCATTTATCCTGAGGTAGTGGTAAGAGCTAGTGGCCTACTACTTTGCTTTTCTGACCTTCAGCTTGAAGTCTGAACCCCAATATCTGTCTCTGGGTCTTTTTTTAATTTATGTTACAGAAAACAAGTGGGGGGAAAAAAACACCATCTTGATGGTGAAATACAACACCTTCCATCCCTTATTCCATTTTTAGTTGTTGAGATGTTCTCTTGGAAACAATGACCACCGATATTATCACCTGCAGCGTAGTGGGCTGTGAAGAATGTAATTTCATAGGAAGGTCTCCTTCCCCCTGTAACGAGTATGGGTTTTTCCGCCCGCCGCCTGGTCTTGTCCCACCGCCGCACCAGCCCCAAATAATGCACTGAGACTCTGTACTAGATATAATTCTGTTGGCCCGGTTACTTGTTTCTTATCGGCTAGCTCTGTCTTAAGTATTAACCCATTTCTGCTGATCTATGTATTTCTCTTACCAGGGAGCCAGCCGGCATACTCTTCCTCCCAACTCTCCATCTTGGCCCCTCCTTACTCCTCCCTATTTCCTCCTTGTCTCCTAGTCCCGCCCATCTTCCTTTCCTATTGGCCAACAGTGCTTTATTCATTAACCAGTATGAGAAACATATATACATAATGGCATCTCCCATCATCCCCCCCATAAATCAGTAAGAATCTGTGTATGCACATTAACATATGAGTTTCAAGTGTAGCTTCTTTTTCCTACTTATAGGGAGCTAACAGTACACATAATGACCTAGACCACCTGGTCAATCCTTACTAGGCAGTCTTTACCACAAAGGCTGCTCCCAAGTTCTATACTACAGGATCATTGTGAGATGAAATCTAGTGAATACAACAGAGGCTGAGGGAAAACATTAGTCAAACCAAGTGAAATGTCTAGTCTACACTCAGTGCAGGCCAGTAGCTTCCATGCCTAGGACTACAAGGAGCCAGGAAACAATGGGGGGGGGGGTGGCTCACTGTACCTGCATGGCAGCCATCCCTGGTTCTTTCTGTTTCTTCCTTCTCCCAGCTTCCTCCTTGAGTAACATGAGTGTTTAGAAGTCAGTCCTAAATACCAAAAGCATAAAACTTAAGTACATTACATGTTTGTAAAGTGACCTGATTAATTAAACCCCTTATTTTCTGAATAATAATAATAATATCATGGGTCTAGTGGCATACAAACACAATCCTAGCACTAAAGGCAGAAAATTGTGAACTCAAGGCCTGGACAAGTTAGTGATTTCCAGGCTATATCTCAAAATGGTAAAAATATAATAATGTCCTGAATAAACATAACCCACTTCCCTTCCCTTTTGGGGATAAAGACCTAATATGTAACACAGGCTGGCCTTGGATTCATGGTCTTCCTGGCTCAATCTCCTGAGTGCTGGGATTACAGGTACATTCGAACCAGCTCAGCAAGACACCTACTACCTGTGCCACAGGCAGAGCCACTAAGAGAACTTCGCCATATAGAAAGATGGACCTCTGTAGCCTACTGCACTAAAGGGGATGTAGGGACAACAAACTACTGCAGGAGTGCCAACAGAAGACTTGACACTTCCTTTTTTACAGAATTTGATCCCTTCTCAGAAGGATCAGGAATACAATGCTGCCTCTGCACACACACCCCAGAATGCACACACACATATATATACACAAACTAATATAACCACATAAAGTAAATATAGGCAGAGATATTCAGCTAAGTCTTGGGAAGAACACAGCTGCCCTACTTGAAATATTAATGCCTATAAGAGGTTTATTTGGAATAGTCACCTGTTTCTTTCATATTGCTCCTCATAATGAGTAAACCTAACTGAAGTGTTTCCCTGAGAATCTAGAGCTGAGCAAGAAAATAACAGCACTTGAGCATCAGCTGGTGATAGGTTCTATTCAGGACATGAGGCTTGGAGGTAAGAGGGGATTGTGGAATTTGATACCATCTTCAGGTAGTGATCCAGGTATGAACTAAGTCATACAATCTTAAATTGGTGTCTGACAGAGAGTTGCCTGAAGCTGACCAGAGGAAATGTTTCTATGCTGAACATTAACTGTTAGGGAAGAAAAAAACAAAACAAAACACTACTCCTCCATACCACACCGCTGGCACTGAAGGGTGACCATATCTAAAGAAGTCACATCACTGTGTTGTGGCTGAATAAGGTCTACAAAGGGGTAGTATCCTCTAACCTCAACATTTAGATATTGTCTAAGTTATCTTTCCCAGACTGCATTAAACCCTCTTTGCTCCCAAACGCAGGCAATTACTTGTGTGTGCCACCTTGCCCAGGACAATCCCAGTTAACTTTAACCTGCACAAGCCAAGCGGATACACGTTTTACAATTCTCTTCCTCACGACTCATTTTTTTTTTTAAGAAAAAGTTTCCTCAACAACAAAAGCAAGATAAACAACAACAAGCATCATTCCATCAACTCCTCCCTTATCCAGCCTCCTCCTCCCTCACTCTGCAGGACCTCACTCCCACCATCCACCTGCATCTTTTTCTTCTTTTCTCTCCCACCGCCCTCTACCTTCTGACAGCTCAGCTGGTCTCCCCTTCCGTCACCTCCCCTCCCCGCCTCTCCGGACCCCGTTTTCTTTCTTCCCTCTATCACCTGCATCCCTCTCTAGTCCCTCATCACCTGGCTCTTCTGGCACAAACGCCAGTCACGTATCCTCCCCCAACGCAAAAGCGTCTGAATCCGAGTCCCTTGCTCCTCCCTGGCTGCCTCCTCTCCGGACACCCCTCGCCTCGCTCTGCAGACATCTCTCTCCCACATCACTACTTCCTCCGCCACGTCACTGGGTGCAGCTGGGACCGCAAAACAAAGTTCCCCGGCTGAGTTTGCGGTTGTCAAGGATAGTTCCTAGGCACGCAACGGGTGCAAAGGCTCTGGGGAAACTCACCCGACTACGCCACTAGTTCTGCGCCAAGGAGCTTCCGTCTGGCGGCGGAAGTACACGCCCCGCAATCTGTGTGGGCTTCGAGAGTGGGCGGGGCCGGAGGGTTATTGACGCTCCCAAGGGGCGGTACCCGGGGCGGGGCAGAGTCAGACGAAAACGTGAGGGGGTGTGGTCAGTATGTGGGCGTGGTGCACAGATTCCAGCATGTAACCCTGGAGAAGGATGGATGGGCTCCTGAGGACCTGAATGATGAAAAGGGCGTGGTGAGAGCTTAGATAGGACTGGGAAAAGAATGTGGGCGAGGCCAAAGCCCAAGAGATGGAGTAGAGTGCAAAGTGGGGATAGCATGATCATGGGTAATGCAAGGTAGGAGTGGGCAGAACCAGGTCCAGTAAGAGGGCTGAGGTCCAGGCTTGCTCTTCTTGCAGTGTTCCCAGCTCCTGTTTATTTTCCCTTAGGAGCCCAGCTCTAAGTAGAGCAGTGTGAATGAGAAACAGAGCCCGTGGTAAATAGGGTCAGGCATTTTTTCATTTGAAGAGTAGTATTTAAACAATTGACTTTAAAAAAAAAAAAGCATTATAAATACTTCCTATTACGAAAAAGAACTGCATTCGCCGAAATCCTTAATAGTTGACGTCTATGATCTATGCTTTTCTTTAAATGTGTCATATTTCCTCTTTCTAATAAAAAAATAGCAATTTACAATAAACACTCCAAGTGCTTTTTGGCCTGGACATTTGAAACAACATGTAAACCATGTTCCTCATTCGGTGTTGAATGCTTTTATTGTATGTACTTTAAATAGAAGCAGATGCTTGCATTCAAATAAGTGCTTCAAAAGATATTTTTAACAGTAGTGTTGAAATTCAACTACGGAAAAACAATGTGATTAATTTGAGGGATGTCTAATGAAAACATTTTCTTCTCATTTTCATCAGGTGGCAGATCTACATTTCACCATGGATTTCCAAAAGTTCTCAAGGAAGTACACACAGAATTCAACAAATTATCACCAGTACAGAAGAATGAAATGCACTGGAATTACCTGATGTTTCAAAATGTTTTCAGATGCAAAATTCACTTTTGAGTAGATGATGAACATTGATCATTTTCATTCTCTAATATTTTCTCTTGGTTCCCACTACCTCCTGCTGAAAGAGATGGGGAGGGAGAAAACAAGAGAGGGTACAAAAGCTGATGGAAAGTCATAATGGAACCCATTATGGGTTTTTTTTTTTTTTTTGGTATCTAAAGAAAGGTAAGTAATATAAACACTGAAAATATAGGCATCTTCGCCTGCCATCTCAAAAACAAAAAAGAAAAAAAAAACAAAAAAATAACAACAACAATAACAAAAAACGCCTGTACTGATCAACGGATTCTTTAGGGCTATTAATAGATTATCTGATACATTCCAAAGTGTAAGGGTTGACCTTTTAAAACATAGGTTTGGATGGTTTTGTGAACAACTCCCAGGAATCTTCTGTTTCTCTTATGAATGTAGTTGTATGACTCTGGCTACTATGGAAAACCAATATTAGTAACATATATTTGCACATAAAATTTTACTAATTTTTTATTATTTTTATTATAGCCTAGTTAGTGTGTGCATGCCTCCACTGAGCTAGTTAAACCAAAATGTAAAGGATCACATTCTCTTCTACCATGTGTGTTCTGCTAATGGAACTCACATGGGTTTGATGACGAGCTTCTTTAAATATTGAGCCACCTCACTAACTCCAGAATTTCACTATGACTTTGTCAACTGAGTTACTCAAATACGACAATTTGAACAGGTTTGCATTCATGCAGAGGAACTGAATAATTACCAGTGATGAGATTTAAAACAGTAGGCTCCAGCAGTACTCACCACTGAATAAGAAAGTCAGTGACACACCTGCCAGCTAGTTTGCAGTCACACCCCAGATTCTGTTCCCCCAAGACCTACTCTGATGCCCAACCCCTCCCTCATCACAAAAGAGATGATGAAGTGGGACAGGGGTAGATGGAGATGGTAACATGAGGAATCAGGTTGGGGTGAAGGAGGGGGAGTGTACTGAAAGAGATGATTGGAGTGGGGGTACAGTGGCAACTTCCAGGAATGCACAAGAATGACTCTAGCTAAGAATCCTAGCAATACTTGATGCATAGCCTGAACTGGCCATGTCATGTGACCAGGCAGGACTTCCAGAGAAGGAACTGGGATATCAGTCCAGCCACATAACATTTCCTACAGTCTGTCCTGTCTTTAGGAGGCATATGTGCAGGGGGGGAGGGGGTGTGTGTGGTAAGAGTGGCTTGGAGATTGTGAGAGTGGCCAGCCAATGACTGTTCTAGCCTCACTCAGACCCATGCCATGGGAGTGAGGCCGCCTATGACATTGTCGAGAGTGCCATGACCCAGAGGCTGGATGGCCCACAGATGTAGAATAGAACTAAACACAACTGGAGAAAAAAATCTTCACCATAATGATATTCTGATATTATTAATAAAATCAATTAAAAATTGATTACTACCCCAATTTTGACCAGAAAGTCTTCATCCAGTAGCTGATGGAAACAGATGCAGAGACCTACATGAAAGCCCCAGGCAGAGCTTGGGTAATACTGATGAAGGGAGGGAGGAAGGGTTGTAGGGGCCAGGAGGGTCAAGGACATCACAGGGGAGCCCACACAAACAACTAACCTAGCCTCATAGGAGCTGAGAGTCTGGACCAATAGCCAGGGAACCTGCATGAGACTGACTTATGCCCTCTATATGTATGTGACACTTGAGTAGCTAGATCTTCTTGTGGGATTCCAAAAAGTGTTGGCAGTGGCTATTTCAACTATATTATAGAGTTTAGGGACCCTTTACATCATACTGGGTTGCCTTGCCTAGCCTTAATAGTGGAGGAGATGCTAAGTCTTATCTACAGGTTGATATGCCATGTTTTGTCAATATCCATGGGAGGTCTGACCTTTTCTGAACATAAGCAGGGTGGAATGGGTTGGGTAGTGGATCAAGATGACTTCTTGGATTGTTCAGAAGGCACAGAGTATTAATTGTGTTCCACATGATATTATCTCAGTAAAGTAGCTGAATGCCTTTCTATGCTTGATTCTACTTTACTTGGTGTTTCAATTTACTAGAAGATAGTAACATTTTAGAGTAATCCTGGAAGAACAATAGGGTGTGGTTCTTTGCAAGTGTTCCTTTCTTCAACCAGATTACCTGAGTGAGGTCAGGTCCTCAGGCTTCACACTGAAAATGTAACAATAATTAAAGACCAAGAGACAGATATTGGGATTTAAGATGAAGATCTGGAAGAAAAGTAGCTAAACTGCCAGACAGCTCTTATGTGTAACAGGGCTGGCTGGTGAATTCCTTTTCTCCAAGTGATTGGTGAATACTAATATTCATATATCCCTAGTGCTGGGATTAAAAGCATGGGATCTGGTACTCTTTTAGACTGATTCAATTTTATATATCCCCATGTGGCCTTGAACCCAGAGAGCTGTGTCTACCTGTCTACCTCTTAACCCTGAGCCCTAGGATTAAAGGTGTGTCACACCACCTAGCTTTTGGCTGCCTGGATTAAAGGTTTGTGTCTGGTGTCTGTGGCTTGTGGCATAAATTGCTTTCCAAATCCTTAGTCATGATTTAATAAATTATAAAGAATATATTACCACAGTAAATATTTAAGTAATGAATTCATTATAAAGTGTACACAAATACCAATATTTATATGTAGCATACCCATATAAGTGTGTAATAGATTACAGTTAAAAGCAAATAGTAAAACCAATGCCCATTTGTATACATACTTCATCCTAAGGCATCATAGTCCCAAATTTTCTTTTTCTAATAGTCTATCCACTTATTTTTCTAACTACATATGAAAGTGACCAAAAGGAATCCATGATTGGATTCAAGGTTAAAATACCCCTAGCAATGTAAGATGAGAATAACATGGCAAAATGGATTGATAGCCAGTCAGCCTTGGTGGCCCCAAAGTGTAATTCTTCATGCCACAAAGGCAAGACAAAAGGAACTCAGAGAACTAAAAGTCTCATTTGGAATTATGGCATGACTATATCCCACTCAAAGTTACTGCTTGGATATTGCACAGTGATAAAGTGTTTTCCTGGCAATCTATATAGTCTGCCTAATATAACCAACACAACAAATTTCTTGACTAGGAAAATCAGTGCATACTGCTAATGGTTTCTGGTGATACTAATCCAAAGACTTGGGAAATGAGGTCTGAGTCTTGTGTTGGATAGTTATTAAAATCAATCTTAACTTATGAAGAAATCAGTTGATTCAATATACTGCCATAAGACAAATAAAATTCCAACTTGTATGGATTGAGAAGAGACTGTGACATCATCCAATCACTTACTTGGGGTTTATTTCTTTCATTTAATTTTTAGGAAGGTCTCATGTAAACCAGGCTTCTATCAAACTTGTAGTGTTTGTATGACTACAAATTCATTTTTCTTCTGTATCCAACCCCTAATGCTATATTTCCAAGTGTAGAACTCTATGCCCTTTAGTATATATTTTATTTGATATCCTCACCTAAAAGAGAAAAAGACATCAATATGACGTTAAAGATTGTTTCTTTATTATGAAAATTTCATGGTAAAGGGTCAAAGGCATTTTATATTTGATTGCCTTTTTGAGCAAAGCAAATCCTTTTAGGAGTCAGCACCAATGCCTGCCTTTACCAAACCTTGAGAAATATGAGTCAGCAAGATTGCCATGCATGTGAAGTCAACATGTACAGTAAATATCTGGTCTCAAAAAACAAACAGA